TTCTACCTTAATTTCACTTACGTTGTCCAGTTCTTAATGTTATTTCCAGCTTAAAAGGGTCTACATTTAATAGTAAGAAGTTTGCGGTGTGGTATATGCCTTGTGGTATTTTAAAGTACAGATCGCGAATTATTCGGGAGTTACGTTAAATGCAATTTTAGGTGAATGTTTAAAATTGTCGTCTCCTCGTATACTTGAAGCAAAGTCATTAAGCTAATTCGTATCTGCTATTTCGCAAAAGTTCGCCAATGAGTGGGCTTTCGGATTACAGGTCCTCGGAAGGTGGACACTATTTGAGCCACCACCTTTTAAAATTTTGTTTATTCATGCGCATTTTTTATAGGTTAAGGCGGACTTCATCGCTCTCCTAAAAGAGCATAAATCAATATCTCGGCGCTCACATTGGTCCGGTGTGAAGAGGAAAATTGACTTTGATCCGCGTTATAGAGCGGTTGAGTCTTCAAGCCGTCGTGAAGATTGGTTCCGCGAATATATTCAGAAAATGGATGATGTAATTAACCCTTATTTTTAAGTGAACCTATTTAGTGTCATCTCCCATGCAAACTGCACTTAAGATATAGTTGCATACCTTAACTAGCGGTTAGCTTCTTCACACTATGAGTTTACTATGCTGCTGCGTGTTACAAGGCCTTCGTGACAAATTATGACTCACCTTACCGAAGATTTGATTTGACCTTTTAGGGAAAAGATAGCGCTTCTCGGGAGGATAGTGAAAAGCGGAAAGAGCGGGAGAAGCGCGAGCGACAGGAAGCTTCTTTACGCGAACGCAAGAAGGAAGTTGAGGAGGCTCGAACCAACTCAATGAGAGAGCGGGATCGTGAGCGTGAATCTCATTTACGTCGAGAAGCTGAGGCCAACTTCAATGCCCTTCTAACCGACGCAATTAAATCAGAGATACTCTCATGGAAGGAGGCTAAAAAACTCCTTCGAAAAGACTCGAGATGGGATGGCATAGCAGATGTCCTGTCTAGGAGTGAACGTGAGAGCCTCTTCGACTCCTATACTGCTGGTCTCAGCAAGAAAGCTAAAGAAGCTTTTCTTAAGATTATCAATAGTAATGAATCGGTAGGTTGTTATAACTGCAAAGCCATTTTTTCAAATAACTTGACCGATTCGATTTTGGCTACTCCTGCTTCAATAAACTTGCCCATATTTTTGCATATTTCTGTATTTCTGCACGTCCTACTTAAAGCTAATTTTCGCCGATTCCGTTGTTTTAGGCTCTTGTTTAAGTGCCGTTGTGCTCCTTACTGTTAGATTACATATTGGACTCCCTGGAAAGATGTGAAGGAGATCTTCAGGGACGACCCACGATTCGATAAGCTTCTTTCATCCGAGAAAAAATGGAAATCCGAATACCGTGATTGGGCCGGTGAACGCGAATCCAAGGCGAAGAACAATTTCGGTGAAATGTTGAAGGAAAAGACCTCATTAATGTCATCGTGCGTCTATTTCTTCGGTGTTTGGCTAGTAGATTATGGTGTCCGGTTGGCATCGCACATGGGTAACCTGTAAACGATAGTCATGATTTAGATGTTGCATGCAGCCTTCTTCATGCTTGGACTCCGCTCTTGGTGAATGTTTTTCAATCATTAGTATACATTTAACAGCCTTTGGAATTTGCTAACATTTCTCTTACCTATGTTCTCTAATCGCCTTAGGGCAAAACGCCACTCCTCTGAAAACGATACGATGTTGGATGATGTTTTAAGCACCCTCAAGGCGGACATTCGCTACAGGGCGTTAGAACCAAGTCAGTCCAAGGCTATGCTCGAGGAGTTCCTGCAGCGCCTCTCGGACTAAAGCATGCTGTTTTTAACCCCATTGCGTTTGCAAACCCACTTTCTTGTGTTTTCTTTTTTGTTGTTGACTGCATGCATCCTGTGCGTCAGCACATGTATAAATTCATCTGAAACAGAAAATAAACGAAAAAGAAATTGTTGAACGGCTTTGTTGGATTTTCCCCGTTGGTGTTTGACCTTGTTTATGTGTGCGGAGGGCTTGCTTACTGATCGTTCCTATTGCCGAGGTCTTAACTTTAGGGACGAGGTCTCAATTTCATTTTCTACTAAGCCGTCTTAATGGTTTCGTTCAGTGAGCTTCGGTGTTATTTTTTTTGGGTCTTTTGTCATTGTTTTTACGATCAGCGGCTGAAGTCTCAAGCTTGCCACAAAATTGGTTGCACCTGTATTTTTCGATATTGTGTACGGCAGGGAGGTTACGTAGGTGACTGGTTGTCCTGGAAGGTTTATTTCATTAGATATTTGTAAATGGTGCTGCCGTTTACTGCCGCACGCTCTGCTGATCCTTTGAGTTCTACACTCAGATCTGATCTGAAATCCGAAGTAAATGTGATTTTATTGGACGTTTCATAACTATGGTTGTTATTGTGTCAGTGATGCATTTTCTGTTTGAGCTGGAGCAAGTGTGATTCATGGTGGCGAGCCAGATTTTCCTGATTTGCCTGTAACCTGAATCAGTTAACAGATTTACCTGCTCTGTATTTAAGTAGCAGTGAATCGGAATTTGAGAAATTGAGTGTCGATTTTACCCATGAATAGCTAGGGCAGCAATGCTCGTAGTTGCTACAATCTTTCTTTCATCCAGAGATAAGTGATGAGTGATCGTCCGAAGTCCACCCAGCTAACACCTGAGGAGATTGATCGGCTCCTGGCTGATTCTTTGCTATCTCTACACTGTGCTGACGACCCTGCGGTGTCCAAACCACTGTGGGTTGCACCGGAAAGCACTCTCACTGAGGCTGATCTAGCTCTGCTTGATGAGACCGGCATGTGTGAACAGCCGTCTTCAGTGTGAGTTCACTTTTATTCCTGACATCTGCCTGCTCATCGTTGAGTTCCGTGAAACGCCCTCGTTGGAATATGATTAAGTGAATGCATTCGGAGCATTATTAAATGAATGTAAAATGAGATTTTCCCCACTTCCGCTTTGGCATCTGCTTTGAAGTAATTTTTTATTATCACTTCTCATATTGTGTTTACTCTCAATTTAATCTTTTACAAAATGACTTCCACTCTTTGCGTTAGCAGAGCCATTGAAAAAGGACACAACGAGGACGTTATTCAAGAGGCCACGCGTGAGTCATCATGGACAGTTTGCTTTCGTGTTTAGCCTGTTGGAATGGCAAGCACTAAATGCAGGTCTATAATGATGATGTATCACATTGTCCTAGCTCCAATATTAATGAATTAAAATATTTAAGCAACACATTAACGTGAATAGAGTCAAGTTGGTGCATGCAAAGGCTCACTTCACATTATTGTTGGTGTTCTAGCTGGAACATGAAATACACTTATGTGTCGTCTTTGTGCTTAACTAATTATAACGCTAAAAACAGGTTCTGCAATACCCAAATGCTACATGCATTGTTGTACCATAGTCAAAATTGATTGATTTGCATATCTGGTAATAGGGTTCCATTTATAACAGCGCATTGGCAACTCACTTCAAACGATGGTAAATCCGGTGAATTAACTAAGGGATGGCGCTTTAGAAAGGGATAATAAATTTTGTTGTAGGTTTTCTGATTTAATCAAAGTAGTTAATTCAGTAGTTCTTACTTTTCTCACCTTTTAGAGGCGTTGAGTTCGCAAAATGAACGAATCCCAGCAGCAATGGATAAAATCCCTCCAGATCATTTTGAAGCAGATTTTACTGCATCAGCTTCACCTACAGGTGACGCTCTGGTATCTGTGATGAAAACAATCACTACCTATCATTAATGATCATGTCAGGTCAACTGATTAGCGATGCTCCATTGTTTCCTTAAGTTTTTGCACTGGCACTAGAAAACTAACTTACGTTTTATTGCATGTACGTTGGTGAACCTCGTCATATCACCTACACTGGTGAAGTTACTTTATTCTCGGTCATTGAATTGCTTTTTCCGGTAATTTTTGTAGTGTTAATCATAGTCGAGTCATTGTTTTACATGGCCATATGTGAATAGATCTTTAAGGAAATGCTATTTGAGATATTTTGGGCTTGCACTAATTTTTTCCCAAGGCACTTAAGATGCATTCTGTGCGTGCTTTGCAAGGCATAACGGTAAACAGGACTGCAGAACTTGCCGTGTGAGTTTAACAATTCCAGCACTTATTTTGTTCAGCGTGATTACCGCCAAGCAATATTCTGGTGCTCCCAGTCATCTTTTTTCGATCAGCAAAGTTTGGTGGCTCCATTCCTATCGCGGTGGAACAAGTTTACGTGATAGTTTTAGTTGAATATTTTCCCACCTGATTTTCATTCAACTGCCGAATTTAATATAGAAATATTGATGCAACCGGGCAAATATTTAGTTTCAGTTTCAGGTAAATGAGAAAAATAACTAAACACAACACACAGCGAACTTGTTACCGGGGTTGCGTGCAAACTAATACTGGGAACCCACACTATGCAAATGCTTCACAAAGATGAGTTTTACTGGCTTATATCTGCCTTCGAAATGTTTTTTCATAAGCTTGCTAAACTCCGTTGTAAATTTTAGACCAATTTTCATTGTCTGCATCCGTTTCTTCACCACTGCCTATAAGAGAAAAGTGAGTTCATTAATTTCATATTAATGTATCTTCCGATTGTTGTATTAATGTGAAGAAACGGACTTTATCTTGGTATTCTGATTCGGGCTCCGGCCAAATAGAATGCCTGGCGGTGACTTCCAATCATCGAATTTTTTCACCATCTGACTGTGCTACGATTTCAGAGAAGGCGCAATTATTGTTTCTTATCTTAATCCACAGTCCTGGTCATCCAGGTTTTTCAACACAAAAAAGAAACAGTTTTTCCAAACTTGTTCACGGCTGGACCACCCTCATGGGTCATCCCATCGCCGGTTCGATCTCGTCGCAGTTAACAACGTCACCTCAGTCAGTTTCCATTTTTTCGCCCCTTTTAACGCAAAGTTCAAAGCTCCTCACTGGTGTCGTCTCCTCCCTCCTCTCTCCCTGGGCATTGGCGTCGAGACAGATTGCCGAGATATCTGAACACAGTTTTGACGGCGTGGGACTTGTTCAAGATAGACCTTGTGAGGATAGTCTCATTAATGCATTTGAAAAGATTGGCATTGCAGACAGCTACTCAGAACATGATGACGGTATGTTTTCGGAATCTCCCATCCTCCTGCCAACTCTTAATTTTACGTTCGAAATCAGTTCACTACGCCTAATTGATACCAGAAAGCTAAAATCCGTGGTTTGAACGATGTTTCCTAAACACCTCACATAACCCTTCAAAAGTAGCGCCTTTAATCGGTGTTAGGTAGAATAGCACTCTTGAGCTTTTGATTTGTTTATACTTCAAATTGTCCCAGCGGAAAATGTTGGAGCTTTATGGAATTATGCAATTCTGCACCTCTGCAGTGTTTTTCTCACCCAACCACGATCGTGACGAGACGAAGGGTGCTAGGAATACATCGATATCGCCTTTGCCCGTCGTTCGTCTGCGCAGCGCGATGATGGAGGACACGCAATGTGGCCCGAACACTGAGTCCTCGGTCTATTCAGACGCCGTAAGCGTGCCACTCTCTCCAAGGCGCTCGATGCCACCATCCCCCCATCGGTCCTCGACTCATCTCGAAAACTTGGATGCCGTTTCCTCATCCCACTCGAGGCTTCTTTCAGAAGTAGAAGGCTTTCCACCTAGCCAATTTGGACATTGCCCACCACAATTGGTAAACGCCGATCTAACATCATCTTTTTCTCTAAACAAAACCACCGCGGAGGAGGAGGCTTCAAAAATTAATAAAAATTTACTCCCAGGCGTTAATAGTTCACCTAAGAGGGAGATCTTTCCTCGAGGTGTGTTCTCTGCAGAGCCAGAAATATCGGAAGACACTTTTGCTTGTTCGGCATCGCGAGAAGCATTTGGGGATTTTACTGTGGATGTGGTTTTGCCAAAATTGGAAGCGAATACTTCCACAAAATCTAGCGCTGTTTATCCGGAAGGTCCTGGACAACCAGATACCGAATTGGTGAGTTTCTTTTTATGTTTGTACAACCAACTTTGAGGGTTCCAATTTAGGGCTTTATGTTCCGCAGACTCCTCAATCTTTCTTTAAACCGCGCGTTTCATGCTCACCCTTTCCAATGATGATCAGCGTGATGAGTGACAATGAGGAGTGGAACACAACTCAGAAGTCCACTGGTCGTTCCTCCATACCTATAAATTCGCGAAGAAATTCAAAATCCACCGTCTATGGACGCAAGGCTAAACCACAGGATGAACTCGTCTCTCGGGCGGTAGAAAGTTCAATTAAGGGCTTATCACATGAGGGCAGTGAGGTATCCCACCGATCATCGAAACGGTGTGAAATGGCTACGTTTGAGCAGCTCTCACCTCAATTGAGCAGTAGCACCCTTTTTTCTACTTCTGAAAATGTGAATGCGAAGTCTGCAACATCATTAATAAGTTTATATTTGGAAAAACCCCTCACCTTATTGCATATTAACTACTGCAAAACAACTGTCAGGCAATTCTTTCAAATCCCTGGTTGGGTGCGCCAAACTCAACCTAACTTAGTCGACTTGGAGGATTTCGGTCATGCTGTGCTGGTAAAAAGAAATGAAAACGTTACCTGTTTGCTTGTTAGTAGGTGTAACAGAATAGTTAGAAAAATTAGGATTCCCTTTTAATTGGTCTTTGAATTAAGTGTAGTTAACTAAGTAAACCTGACATATATCATGTTCCGATTTATTAAACGTTGTTAGGCATATGAATACAAATGTCTAGGCGTTTGGCGTGTATCATCGTTCGCGCATCGTTTCCTACATAAGATTAATTTTACTGGACCACTTTCCTTTTAGAGTTCACACTGTTCGATTTCAAGCCGCCCATCCTCAGAGCATTTATCGGCAGCGTCTGGCATGTTGCAGCCACCACCGCGTAAGGCCGCAAATAGCGTTACATTTACAGAATCTGAGCAAGACAAAGAGAATGTATCACCAGATGTGAGCGTTGAGATCATCTATATGGATATCGTTTGATTTTCATTTGTTTCAGGGCTGTTGTCAAATTACACTTTTGCAACGCGTACTGCTTTCGTGCATTACTTTGTTCTGTATATTTTGATGGCTTTGCCTCATAGAATTGGGTCGTGTCTTCCCCTCTTCCACCCTTACAGGTGTCGGTAATAGTCACTAGACGCCGCGCCATTCACCGACTCCCGGTGCTTCCCGTCCCTACGGGACCGGTACCAGCACCGAGGCATTCGGCCCACAAGGCGAAGACTCAACTTGCTTTTCCGACAGGGAGAGGAGAGATTGTTGAGGCGAAGGCTCAACTTCGTCGGGAAATAAAAGCGCTTAAAGCCAAAGAGGATATTTTGTGGTGATTTCTCCCTTTCAGCGTAACCCTACTTGCATCTTCTACAAAATTCGGGACAAAGTATTAAAAAAGTGATACTGGAATGAATAAGCTAAATATTGCTACCACTCATCCACACTTCTATTGTATGCATATTGCACATTCATATTTCCCACACAACACGTTTAATGGGGTACTAAGTGAATATGGTAACTGTAGTAAAGCTGATGCCTAGATTTTATTTTCCTTTCATTTCCTAGCCAAATGTTTTTTGTGCTGTCAAACATTGATTATTTTATTTGTGTCGATTCGGCCAGGAGGACATTTGAGAAGTTATCCTTTTAGTCCTCACTAGTAACTCCTTTTCATTAATTTATGACAGTTTATTCCTCTATAGTTCCGATTGACTTAGATTCTTTAAGTTACATTGGCTCCTGTGCCTTAGTTTGAGTTTGAGTGAAAATTTGAATAACGCTCCTTTCACCGAGTTAGGCTGTGTTGCGTCTGTTGCTAAGGTTGGTATTGATCAAATATGGGACGGCATTTGAGGAGGCTTTGGACCAACGCAGTCAGGTGCACTTTGCGGCGGCCAGTGCAAGGGCCCAGGCTAGTAACGAAGTCTCTGAGACACGTCGTCAGACTGCTACCCTCTACAATGCCGTTCTAGAATCACAGCGACGACACGAGCGCATGCGTGAAACGATCGAAAAGGCCGAGGCTGTGAGTCCTCCCACTCCTCCCTTTCTTCTCAGTTGCTAATCTCCCAACATTTGGATTTTTCTATCGTTTTTCGCTGTTTTAGAGTCAAGATGAGTGGTTGAAACGCATTGAAGCTCTCCAAACGAAGCACACTCGTCAGTCGGAGAAAGGGGTGACCTATCAAAAATACTGTCTTGGAAAGATTCAAAGGTAGGTCCCGTCTTTCTTCCCGTAACAATCATAAGAAAGGCTTCAGCACTTTACCTTCTTAACTGGACCTTTTATTGTTTACTTATTTGCCTCTGGTGCAAGGGCAAATTGCGCGCCTTTGGACGGGGCTACTAAGTGGAATTTATTTCCCATAATTTGCCTCTTCAGCTCAGGTAAATCTTCTGCAGCAAATCAGACTACGAAATCCCTTTTTTGCTCTAGGGCCCTCGAAAATCAGGAGGTGACAAAGACCGAGATGGAAAAGGAGCTTAGCAAACTGCGTGTTCAATCCAAGCAAATGGAAATGAAACAAAGGTCCCTCGAGGCTGAACTAAAACAAAAGGTAAGCCTGGTAACTTATGGCAGTCTACTGATTTGTTTGTTACCTACACTTTTTTTAATCCTGTAGGCCCAAGAGAATCAAGAGCTTACCCGCATTTGTGACAGCTTGTTAACGTGATTGCATTTGTCACATCTCTGTTTTTGTGTACATTTGTTATTCGGTGTGCGGATCTTAAAATATATGTGTAGCGTCTCCCTAGACGGGCCTTCTTGACACTAATCTACCCAATTCCTAGGCGGGGGAAAATAGACTGTATCACCCCGAGCCTTTCCTGCAGCCGTAGGAAACAGCAACACGTCAATAACGTACGGATGAGTTGGGATGTTATCAGGACAAGCCACGGGTGGTAGTACAACCTGCAAAGACTCGAATTGCCAGCGCATTAACCAAATAGCCAACGTTTGAAGCAGATGATGCCACAAAAATTGCATCATCTAGTTAAACTGGCTGATTTCTTGGCCACTTCCCGATTGCAAAAAACGCAGACCTTCGGGGCAGTGGGCCTCTTGCCAACGGGAGTATTAGCAGGTTAGTTAGCCGCTGACTGACCGAGAGGGTAGGCGAGAGCATGATACAGTGGTTTTGGGGGAGGAGAATCCTATTTCCCCAAAACTAACTTCCAAAACTTTGAAATAGAAGAGTTTCTAGGGTTTTATTAGTTTAACACCATACGAAATTATATTTGATCATCTGTAATCTAAATCGGCTTATGCCTGTGCTACCGCCCTTATTGTACAAATTCCTAGAACAGTGTACATGTCCCCAAGCCCTGGGATAAATGTCCTCGATCTCGTCAATCGCGTTTTTTCACGTAAGAGGTATTAACAGTAGCACACAGAAGCAGTGCACAAACTCAGCCATCTGGTGAGGCGTAAGCCTCTACAAGATGGTCCACAGCGGACTCTTGCAGCTGACGCAGTTCATCGGTCTCTAGGTAAGGGTTGAGAGGTTTGCGGAATGCGCAGTCCATGTGAAGCTTCAGCCCTCGGGCCAACCACTGGTTCTCAGCAGTCCAATGACTGACGGCCTCGATGAGTGCGCAAGCACGCGAGCGCACGGGCTGGGTGCAGAGCAAAGTCTCCGTCCCATTTAGTCGTGGAAGAGTGAGGGGAGCAGCCGGCAGGGAGCAGGATAGCTGTGGGTCCACACCCTCCTCAAGGAAGCAAGCATAACCGCGGGACCGTGGCAGGTAGGGGAGAAAACTGCCCTCTTCCATTAAGAACCCGCGTGTCGAAAGCTGACAAACTAGGGAACGGGGACGGGATGACACCTGGGTCGTGTCGTGACACATACTGAAAGTATTTGCATGTGTCCATATCTGGTCTTCTTGAAGCTTCGTCGTGATATCCTGAGTAGTTAATGACAGTGACATCATCTGAAAACAATTTAGAGTAAATATACTAAGATACCACTGCTTCCAGGGGTAAACGATGATAACACATGAAAATTGAATTTGTAAACACAATTAGAGTAGGAATACTCAACAAAGCAGAGGAGCGAGCACCTTTTTGTGCGTTGGTATTAATGAATTGATAAAACCATGCAGTTCAGAGGAGTACTTGTAGTCACGGTTGAGCAAGATGGGAGTGAATAGGGTTGCCAGTCCAGCAGCCAAGCGACTGGAGGCGGCGCAGGCATCGCCAGTGTCCGTCACTGGCATCCAGGCAGAGCAGGAGGGCCAGTTCGTGGCTTCCTCCATGACAGTGAAGAGGGTTAGCCGGTTGAGGCAGACAGTAGACCACCGGCTCGAAAGTTGAGAGGGCTGGAAGTAGGAGGAGATAGCGGAAGTGAAAACAGGGCGTTTTGCGAACTCCTCACTAAGAAACTCGCCCAGGCGAAGACCCACACCGGCAAAACCGGAGTCAGAGTCGACGAGAAGGGAAAAACCGTTCGGTCGGTCGCATTCCTCCACCAACCGGTGGAAATAAGCCTCAAAATACTCGAAAGCGTCCCCACCCTCGCGATACAGATCAAGACCCTATAATGAGTAAAGGTACATATCTGAGGCGTTAGCTCGGACACATGTTTAAACATGTAGACTATAAAGGCAAGGTTGATATAACTACTGTTGAAATTTAGAACAAGGTCTCTTCGTAAGGATTAGTCCACATCATTTACACTTTGAGTAATATAAAGCCACATTCACAGTCAAAATAACACGCTCAAAGTGACAAAGCACAAACTAAGTTAACTTGCGAATATGATAAGGTGAATGTATCGAGGACAAATAGTTATTAATGATTGAAACAATGAGTAATAGAGACAAATGATAAGCATTACTAATGAGCTTTGACTTTTCTATGATGAAAGGCAATACTACAGGATAAGGTAAAGTGTAAGATGCAAAATCGAGATTTAGTTGCCAAACCATCCAATGGTGAATGAAATAGCCACTAGTCACAGATGTGATGGGGAAATGGGTAAGTTATGCTGAATCAAAATTGATTTAGTTAGTGGTGAGGTCTGTTGTAATTGACGAAATTTGGCTCACCTGTGCGAATGATGAAAAGGAGGTTGAGTCGTTGTCTTTAGCTGCGGATGTAGAGGCATTGCTAGAACGGGAGGGTGAGGCGAAAACGTCACCGGGCGATGAGGAGTCCAGGTATTCGCGTAGAACAACGACCGTGTCTTCACCATTCCACCTCCGTTTCACTGCTGGAAGCAGACAGTCTGTCCAGAAGCGGGATTTCGACACCTCAAGTTCCCTAATCTCGTCAATCTTTCCTCTGACCTCAAGCGAATGCTCACTGAAAGGCGAACATGAGACAATCCACTAAATCAAGAAGTGTGAGGTCGCCAATATAAAAGAAACAGTCAATAAAGCAATTAGATTTAATAAACTTTAAAGGAGTGCCAAAATTAAGTAGCGATTTTAAGACAGCCAATGAGTTAACGCCAATGAAACAAAACGTTTAATACTACAATGAACAAAAAATTACTTCATTTGGAGTTGAAAATTACCATCGTCCTGCCTGACTGTTTGAATGTCGCCATCCCAGGCCACGGTGACAGAAGGTGTGGCAGAAGACATTTCCATTCGAGGAGTACGTATGCTACCGAGGGTATCAATAGCAATCAGGCGAGGCCGAAGAGACGACATAGAACCCCTTACATTTATTCGAAAGAGCGCGGGGAGGTAAAAGCAACTATCCTCCGACCTCTGAAACAGACTGCTCTCCTGTAAATTCCAAAAATGGGCACCAATCCAATTGGACGAAGGTCCAGCTTGAATAAAAATGAGTTCGCGAAATGTGCCATTGGAAGGGGTAGTACATAAACAGGTTGTAGAGTTCTTAAAATCCATTACACTAAAAAATCAAAGATATTAGATGGAACAACCACCGCAGAACGCGGATGAGCAGCAGAGCTGCATGTATGCCAATTGGATATTAAAGCCTAATAATCACCTCTTTGCAGATAACTGCTAGAAAATTCGCGCGGTATTACTCGCACGAAATAAATCCAACAGGTAACAGATTCAACAATGCAAGACACATAGGAAATAAAAGTTGGAATATGGAGGCAAAATATTACTGGAAATACCTAAGATTATTGGGCAAAGAATCGTAAAGACCAACAAAACAGTTACTGGAAAAACATACTGGCAGGAAAAAGACACAGTGACTCAAATAAGCAGCTTGGCGTATAAAGGTAACGCATATCCTCGACGCAGACATTCAGACAACCCATTAACTGAGGTGTCACGCCTTGCTCCCCATCTACACTCGCCACCCTGTGCTTCTTTTCAGTCATAAAAGTTGAAGTTTACATAAATAGTGTTGTAATATCAAAGTTGCACTTGTACAAGCAAAAAGGTAAATTGTATGTAACGAATGGCAGAGACACGAACCATCTCATAAAGCCCTCACAACTGTACCAATCGATGCGAGGCGTTAAAACGAAGTACTTTTGTTGCTCTTATAGTAGATGCAAATAACAGCAAGGGAGGAGGCGTAATAAATTGCCAAAAAGCATCTCAAGTAGAGGCACATCTTACTAAAAGTGATATTGAGTTACTAAGATTAGTTATTTTAGATGCCACCTAACTAATATTGGTGGTTCTAGTGTAATACTTACGTTGTTTTAATGTACCTCTCAGGGATAAGGCAAAAAATTTGAATCTCTTGGTTAGATTGTCCTCTCCCGTACCTAGTGACTACAGCTCCCCTCCTTCTTGAACATTGTATTTTCCCTCCCCATCTTCTCACCTCTAATAAAGATGTCAAAAGTGAATCAACCGGGCATGCCTAAGAACGCTAGAAATAGGGAAGCGGAGACCGACGAGTCTCGCTTCACACTAGTGTTCGAATTATACAAATTGATCTCCCACTTAAGCCCTTGATATTTAAGCCCAATAAAGTTTCAGCTGCAATGCTTTGGTGATCTCCCAAGTAAACAGTTTTTCAGCCTTAGCTAGTTGTAATACGATAGTGGTTTATCCCTTGGTTCTGGTGAGGCGCCACTTTTGTACTTGGAATTAGCCCCCTTGTACCTCGCTGGGTGGGCTGGCCTTTTGGGCCATGCCAATAGCCCAGACACCTTCTCCGTGCTGAATATATATATATTCTGCCCGAGTATTGTGCCTTCTTTTGTCTTAAAGGAGTCGCGGGACGCTACATAGTGGTACGGAGTTACAGGCCCATCTGTCTTCCCAAACTCGCTCTGCGTAATGGTAAACCTTCTCGCTTAATGCTATAGCTTGTTGCGACTTCAAATAAAGGTCGTTGTTCCACACGACTGATTAAAATGGTACAATGGGTATAAATAGTAGGTTTTTTCAAAAATGCGAGTCATTAACAAACATATACCAAATTTTAGTTCACTTATTCTACATCTTAGTCAGAAGTCATGGTTGTATGGTAGAAGAGTGTATTACTGATGTGCAGGAGGCTGAGAGGGCACTGGCATGGTCCGGATGCCATTCCAACCAGCGGAAGTACAACCCGCAGAAATCTAATTGGCGGCGTAACTACATGGAGATTTATGCAATCTATTGTGGCGTCCCAGGACTCCCTGAAGACGAAAGAAGACAAAATACTCGGGCAGAATACATACTCAGCGCAGAGGTGTCTGGGCTATTGGCATGGCCCAAAAGGCCAGCCCACCCAGCGAGGTTCAAGGGGGCCAATTCAAAGTACAAAAGTGGCGCCTCACCAATGCCGAGGGATAAACCACTATCGTTTTACACCATTAAAGCACTGCACTGACTAATTTTGGTGTTTTGATTACACCTAGGCAAAGTGTTTTTTAAAATTGTTTTATTACCGGTGTCGACACTGCAAATCAACTAAAAACAAGCCTAACATTTAAGTGAGTTGTGTATAGGGGTGCTTTGATCCGAAAAACTTAACTTGCATGAGCACACTTTTCGCGTTTAGGTGAAACCAGCACTTGTATCGCATGTACTGAAATCCCTTAAGCATCAGGACATCCAGTATTATGGTTACTTTTGAAAACCTTCAGATTACATAATGCACTTGAATTCCATTTGTCGCAAGGGGCAATTCAGGGCAATATATTAAAGGACTGTGTCAGTTGAACACTTCGTCGAATCATACCTAGAGCACTGATGTTTTTATTACATGCAGAGAAGTGTTGTACCACACTAAGACTTTAGTGAAGACGAAAGAAAGTATAATACCAAGATAGAGCATGTACTGTCGGTGCAGCGTCCCGAGACTTCCCTGAAGACGGAAGAAGACACAATACTCGGGCAGAGTATATGTTCAGCACAGAGGTGTCTGGGCTATTGGCAGGGCCGCGAAGGTCAGCCCACCCAGCTAGGTACAAAAAGGCTAGTTCAAAGTACAGAAGTGGCGCCTCACCAACACTGAGGGATAAACCACTATCGCCCTACAGTCGGCGTAGGATAGGGCGCGGTGGCTACCGCCACGGCCCGGAGGCTTAGCCGAGCACCGGATCCCAAGTGCCTGCGACCCTAAATGTAGGATCTAATAAACACTTAAAGGATTGTGTAACAGGCCATTTTTACCACTTTGGCATCCGAGATGCATTTTAAAGCAAAATTTGTCTCTACAAATTGTTTCGTATATAAGGGTCAGCAGTCTTTTCCCCTTAAAATAATGTGGGTCAATTAATCTACCATATTTTAATAAAATTCTCTTATTTATTATTGGTAAATAATGGAATGACTCAGTACTACGAAAAGAATACATCTTCTAGTCGCAATTTTGTTGCAAATCTACTACGATAAAAAGGACAATTTTTCACTACAAAGATGTTAAAATCACTGCCTAACCCCTTATATTTATCAACTGAACACCACTTGGATTCATGGGTTTGATTCAGGGCATTTTAGTGTAACTCAAGTGATGTGCTAGGAATTATGAGAAGCCAGTAACAGGACAAAGTTTTCGACCAATAGCAGTTTTGCTCACCTTGTCCTACTTTGTGCGTTTAGCGTCCGGCTTCTGTTCTCCAGTACGGCGTTGATGGTTATTTTGATTGCTAAGTTATTTTGTTCAGCAGCTTGTGTTTTGAAATATTCTTCCAGATTATTAATCCGACCTCCTAAGCCATGCTACTGGAACCGATCTTTATTTTGCATGAAATATGAAACGCTTTTTAAATTTAATGATATTTGGGATTATAAAATGCGCAACTGTTGAAATTAAGATTGGTTTTGCTATGAGATTATTGTAATTGTTTTTTATCCTTTTCTGCACATGCTCACTTTGGACACAGGCTTTCAGACTATGTCATCCGGAATGCATAACACAAGAACCGGAATATCAGATATGGTTCGAACGGCACAGGAGGGCGAAATAAAGAGGGCCGCAACTCTGAAAATGTCTGCTGAGGCTAGGCTACTGCGCCACCAAGAACTGGAGCGTATTAGAAAGCAAGAGGAAGAAGAGTATACGGATGACTCAAATCATGTCCGAGTAAGCCATCTATAATTTACTGGGTTGTGAAGTACACATTGTCTTTACAAGAATCTCGGATATTGTTTTTGTAGCGTTTAATATTTTTTTTACCAGCTTACTTATCTGATTTCTTGTTTGTTAAATTCGCAACTAGTGTCTCATTTTCACAAACTTCCTGCGTTAACATCGGGATTATTTATAAAAGATCATTTGTTACCAAAGTGAACGTGTGTGCTAGACATTGATGGAATTGAACAACGCGGGATTAAGGTTTTAACAATTATGATTATTGACTTGTCAAATGACTTTTGAAGCTGAATGGCTGCACTCACAAGCCCAGTGTTATTTTATTCAATGCGATTGCCTGAATTAATTGCTATGTTTTCTGCACCAGTATCTTCATGGATGTACTGGTTGAGACTAATTTCACAGCCGTTTTCGACTTATCCTTCGCGATTTTGGGGAGTAACCTTTCTTGTGTTTTTGTCGTCTGTTATAATGCTGATTGCGTGCATCGCTAAATTTAATCACATGAACTTATCCATTTATTGTACTTAAATTCAGCGGTTTTTTGCGTTACATTAATGGGCTCTTCTGATGCATTCTATGATGGTTTATGTTTAGATAAGCTCCTCTTTACCTAATACATTAACTTTTTTGACCACTTGACCTTCATAGCAGATCGACGCTCCTCATCAAAATCAAGTCGCCATTATTGGCTTTCGGCGTCGTTGTAGTATTTTCCATCAGGTCCCGTAGTTCTTTTGCATCCCAGTCTCTGTATGCTCTTAGGTGTTTTGTGTCGTTTAATGTTGTGTGACTAGCGCACTGAAACACTGTTTCGTGATTGTACAAAATTTTTGCATACTATGGCGTGCATGTTGGTTTCTGCTTCGATGAGTCACGGGCAGACTTTTCGTCGCCATTTGAAACGAAACGCAAAAGTAGTTTACGTCCTACACTTCTATTACGCTGTTTTCTTCTCCCATCTAAGAACAAATTTCCCTGATGTTGATTTAAGTGCTAGTGGACCTGTTTTTCACCTGAACCCAGTAGTGGTTTTCTGTGCCAAGCTCATATGGTGCTGTCAAATATTTGCCTATTAATTATTTAAGCAGTCCCATATTTAATCATCTGTAATGTTTTGTGGTTTTTTAGTCTCTGTAATGCTAAGCGAAAAGTGAATATCTGCCTTAGTCATTGCAGTAGCAAGCGTTTCAGTCTCATTTTTTCTGACTTATGGCTAGTATTTTGATAGGATTGCTTCACTGGCAGATATTAGTGTATTACTGCAAAGTTTTGGCTTTTCGTTTTCTCCCACATTCAAGAAATTATTTTGATTTAAGTAATTTCGCTGTCTTAGTGTTTTTGTCGTTCTTTAAAGGTTTCATCCTTCACCCAATTCACTTACCGCGAGTTCAAAGGCTGAAAATATTTTGTACTTTACTCTTATTTCTCTAATTCGTGTCTTTCAAGTTGTCATTAGATTTTCAATTCATTGTTGGCTTTTAATACTGTGCTCTGCCACCACGTATGGAAGTGAGGCGATAATAACTGGGGCGACATTTTTGTCTTTTACCGAGGCTCCTGATTTGGCACGCCAATTCTCCTGATCCACCCCAGTAGTTATGTTCTTTTTATTTTACTCTTAGTGCCGATTCTGTAACTATTCTTACACTGTTCACGCACTTATGAAATTACCGCGAACCATTCAGACGAAACAAGTGAAGTAGTGATTCAACGAATACCGTCATGGGCGAACGTCTAGTCCAGCAACATATCGAGCCAAGTTACTTTGTGAAATTTACATTTGTTTTAATGGGTAGTTTAAGCAAGAAATACGACAATCTCTGAAAATACGAGGATCTTTTTTTATTAGGGCGTGACTTTTTCGTTTCTTCACTATCGATCTTTGGAATTGACTGTTGATTTGTGAGGTGTGCTGTAGGCATGTTATTCTTCACACCCGAATGCTCTGTTGCATGTTTTCACGTGTAAAGTGAGTTAACTCCATCTACTAACCACCTTCTCATCGTTTAAGGGTCACAATGGATCCCAGACCTCCTCATCGCGGTACAGCAGTCGTCACTCGTCAATTGAACCCTCCTACACCTCCAGCGCCTATGGCAACGACCCACGGGAGCTGAAGCGCCTTCTTTTGCAGTTGGAAGAGAAGTACAAGGAGGTTCTCGTGATCAACGCTCAGCTGGACTGTGAGAAGCAGTTTCTTACGTAAGTCAAATCTCGCATTTCCACGTGCGCACATGCACCCACACATGGACAAATTGGGTTTCGTGGCTTGCTTATTTTCCTACTGAATCCTGCTGTGTATGGCACTTTACTTCATACAATAATTATCTGTTGTTGGATATTGTTTTTGTCGAGAAGGGCTTCAGTGTTATTTTTTGCTTGTTTAGATTTGCAGCTCTAAGCTGAATTTGATGTGCAGTAATCGATACATGTGGAACTCATTAACCTTTACGTCGGTGTCTAATATGGGTAAAAGATTTTTTATGGTTAAACTTTTTTGGATACATAGACTTTATATGTTAATCCATTAATTTGTTTTAGGCTGTTATTGACTTCATCTTAACACAGGTACTTGACTCATGTTATTAACCTTCCATTCCCATTCGCATTATATCGTGTGCCACATGTGAGTGCTTTCAATACTTTTGGGTGTGTGCATTCGTTTTTTTCATCCTGATCGCCATGCGTTGCGCCCAGAATGTCGGTGCCACCTGATATCCCATAGTCTTAATACCAGGTTGCTTAACGGTGTCAGGCCCTTTGATGTGCATTTCAAAATAGGTGGGGCTTATACTCGGTAAATTTGACAACGTAATCCACAGAATATCCACATTTTTGAGTCGGTTCACATTTGCTAGGCGTGATTTGAAAACTAACCCCGTTCATTGGCCAATCAAACAGCCTTATTTAGTTTTGCATAGCTTCTGAGTTGGTTTCTGTTTATGCAGTATATACGGCTGCGTGGTGACGATCGAGATAACCAGATTTTGTGCTCGTGTTACCCTGCATCGCCAAAAGAATTTTCGCTCGAATCCATATCTTTATTTGGCATGACGCTTTGGCAGCTTCTTCTTTTTCCAAAAGTACACGCTCATCTCGGTTGTTTTTGGCTGCCACACGGTCCACATGCGCCTTAAACCCAAACTATAGCTATTTTTGGAGTTTTCAAAAGCATTTACTGTTCTTTTTGATTAGCAATACTTTTATCTTTTCTGTCATAATTTTACCTTCTTTGGACACCTTTTTGGTCCTCGTCACTTATTATCTGGGCTTTTACATAAACCAATATTAGGGTTTAATATAACAAAAGTAAACAGATTTCCCTCCCCCTTGTTTTGCTTGCTAACAAGTTTTTTTTGTATAAAATAGCTCAAGTGCCAGTGTGTGTTTAACGTGACTAAGAACATCTCCAGTTCACGCATCTTCATACCTCGGAATTGGATTACTAGGAGCTGTTTTCTCTTCCCAAACTCAGGCGTTATGTTGATTTGCCACACAGACTACTTTAGTGGTTATCGTAGGTTTGATTTCCATAAGGGTTTTAAATACAGTCTGTATTCATTAAATACCAATTTTTCTAAAAACAACCACGTGTCTGTTTTAGACCATTCGCTTTTAGTTTTCACTGTTATAATAGCAGCATAACTTGGGATCTCTTAAGCAGGAATCTGTAGCAACTTGGCTTTATTGTACTTGCCACCGTTGTCCTTGTTTTTTTGTCGATTAACTTACTAAGAGATTAAACTCGCTCCATTCAAACATCTCGATAGCAGGCGTTCTATTCGGTATTGAAATTCGGTCTGCCTTGCTTGTAGTTCCATTCTCTGTTTTCACCACCACTGAAAATAAAGTTGCTGATGCTTTAATTTTCAATCAATCTTTTCTCCTCAATATTGTCGCATTAAACACCAAATGCCTATTTATTTTAAAATTAGTTTTTAATTCCTAACTAACCTTCTTGGCTTATGCAGATGGCGTTTGGCGCTGAAGCTTAGGAATAGTTATTCCCATTGACTTTATATAATAGTGACTCTGTCGAGCTTCAGAGCTATCTGTTTACACTGGAGTCGTGTATAAATTGTTGTGATTATATTTCCTAAATGAAATGCTTTGCTGGATGTTTTCGAACCCGAACCGAAAAGTCCAGTTGTCATATGCCCTCTTAAGGTGACACCTGGGTAAAGCATAATCTTGAGATTCCAGGATTACCCATTAAGCCATGGATAATGGAATTATTGCATGTACAATAGTACTTATTAACCTTTGGTCACCTTAAGTAGGATTTACAGACCTTTCGAATCAGCCTTCTATGCCTGCAATAATTAGGTATTTTTCAAAGTTAGCTTTTGTGTGTTAATCTGTCATTAAATATTTAAGTTTCAAAGCCAGTAAACAGTTGGCAAAACATTTTGTGTAAGCTTGTCGCTATTTTGTAAGTCAGTCAGCGTTTTCTTATTTGTTTAAGGTACGCCTTTTGGACTTCACTATTTGTCTTTCTGCATTTACTTGTGTTAATCTTGGGTCCTAAGCTCTACGCCACCTGCTCTTTTTCCCTTGCATTGTTTAAACACTTGTTTGTGAAGCGTAATTACCATTTGTCATATGACCACCAAAATCTCCAGCTTCGTGCGCGTATATTGTACGCCTCTCATTGGTGCAGTATCTTTCTATTTCATTTATCAGTTTTTTTTATGTATTGTTGACAGCACCTTGCACACTCAAGACTTCCTTTCAATACATTTTGTAATCAAAAAAACAATTGTTATCTGCGCTACCAGTTCTTTAATCACTCCGTTCGTAAATGCACCTTGTTTTAGTGCGAATGCCTGCTGTCTGAAGGCCTCTTTATAATGAATTTTTGAAATATTTCCATGCTCGCAACATGGGTTACACATTATAAGTCATAATTTGCATGAGTATTCACCTATTTTAAAGTAATTGATTTCTCGCACACTTCTCATTAATTTAGTTTTCCAGTGAATTTTCTTTGAGCCTGCTTTCTTTCATACTAGCATTTGAGCCTTTCATCTCCAATCGAAGTACTGAATGCTTTCATCTTAAGTCATCGAATTTTCTCAGAATCCCCGTACTTTAAATATATTAATTGAGTACGAAAAAATGGGTTTTTGGATGTGAGTTGTGGAAAAATAAGGACTACTTTAAATTAACTGTGAAAATCCATCATTGTTACTGTCTCTGTGACAAATGCATCTGGTCATGTTTCGCTTCTTTAAGACCCTGTTTTTAGTTGGTCGCAAATGCCACGGAAAAGTAGCAACTTTGGGCTTAATTACATGCTACTTACATGGCTAATTGAATTGGAGTTGCTAAAAGGTTTTCCACAAATTTGGACTTAGGGTTTGCGGTTGGCGGTGGTAACCTTCTCGTCAATCCTTGAAAGATAATTTAATTATTATTGTCATCATAGCATTGGATATTTACTCGTTTTCTTTTCTAGTCTGTGCCTAGCTTATTGATCTCATTCAAGACGCCAGTTGTTTTTGTTACCTTATCGGAACGGTAATTCAAATCTCCCAAAGCTGGCTTTGTCTTAACGAAGCACAACATACTTTACCTCCTCTTCAACAAGAGGAACTCGCTATTTTGGTGCAGGGTTTTGCCATTTTGGCATAACTTTCCGGTTTCAATAGCATATCATGTCGCACCTTCAATGGTCTCAATTTGTTTCTAGCCAGCAGCTTGGTTTATTTCACTAGACAAAAATGGGGAGTGTAGTGGACACAGGTGCACGATGAGATTAGCGACGTTGAATGGTCTCTAATGTCACCAAATGAATGGTGGGAGTAAAAGCGGGATGGTGGTTGTGTAAACTTCGACCGCTGGGCACACTGCGATGGCGGTGTGTGGCACGTGCACAGTGGTGAATGCGTGACCCAAGCGCAATTTCCCGATGAGCCATGCGTACGCTCGCACGCAAGCGCGCAGGCGTTTTCGTGGAGCCGTTACGCAACTCCCTCTGCTTGTAGGCGTGGGTATGTATGGGTATGCTTGTGCGTGCGTGCATGTATAATAGGAATCCATAGTCCTCTCCGTCTGCTGTTCATGACGAATCTCCTAGTGTTTAGCAAGTTTAAAATCTGCGCCTTTCTGATTCTTAAATTGTGTCTCCACTGCTGAAAAAAAAGACACGATTAACGAAACAAAAAGTATTCTTTCCTCCGTCACAACATCGTGACTTTTTGGGATTATTAATTGCACTTATCTACAGACACGCATTTAAAGTGTCGTAGACCCATTTGTGCATTTAAGTTAGGCCTTAATCTTCATATTTCTAGTTGATTTAAAGTAATGCTAACTGGATTTATTGAATTTCAAGCCGATGGGTTTTAATTCTAATTGAAAAATCGCAGTGCTTGATTCCAATACAGGTACCGGTACAACATAATAATGATGTAACTTTTTTGAAGCTTATCGATGTAGGTAAGAATGCGTAAAGTAATTGGAGTGGCATGAGTTGAATGCCCCACGCACGATCAAAAAGCTCCTATGATCTAAATGTCAAGCGACGATTCTCACCGCTGCGCTTACTTTGACCTTACATAGGTGAAAGGATTTTTTATGCTCTTCCGCCCTTTACTCGTTCAGTGCGTATCCCATTCCCCTTCATTTCGGGCTTTCAGACAACTGTATATTGTTTTGGATCCATTTCTTTCCTTCATGTGATGACGCTTCTTAGCCACCATTTATGTGTGCGTGATTTTCACTACTAATGAAGGTGCAAATGGCTTCCTCTTCATATCACAAAAAGTAATTTTGTACCCATTTAAACTGCCACTTTTTGATAGAAAGTACTTATTCGAGATGTCGGTCTCTTTTCCAGCATTGGCTAGCATTTTAAATCCGGCAGAGCCTACCGATCAGGAATTTTTACGCTGCAAGAAAGGATGTGCTCTTTTGGAGCAGAGCACTTTTCGAACGGAACCCAGATTTATTGTAAAAGTAACTTCATAATCGTGCGACTGTCCCATTTCCTATAAAATAGTAAACCGTTAATCTTGATTTACTTTTTGCCATTTTTAAATAACTTTTCCATCCTTAAAAATGCCTTGTCTTCCCTTAATGCTGTATCGTAGAAACGTTGCTTGGTTCAGGAAATCATCACCACTTTTCGCAAATATAGCAAATTTATTTGTTCACATAGAGTTTTAAAACAAGCGAAGTAATTTCACTATTTGCCTAAATGTATCCTAGACTGGTTACAACGAAGCTATGTCATCACTTATCAATTTGTATCCTCATTCAAATAAGCAATTGGATCTAATACTTATTTACTGGCGCAGATTCTAAAATATGCATCGGTTTTGCTCAATTTTAGCTATTCTGTGGACTTGCTGAAGGATAAATTGGAGGACGCCACTGAATCCAATCAACATAATCAAAAATGTGCTGCGGACAGGAAAAAGGTCCGATTTCCTTATGGTTGGTTTTTTTAAATTCGAAAAATTATATTGGTGAGAATCGTTGATGCCATATAAAACCCACAGTTTTAGCTTTGAGTGTAACACAACTTTGGCCTGACTTCTTGCCGCGCCCATCGTACCATAGAGTTTCAAGTGGATACCATTGATAGATTCTTTTGCCCTAAGGCGTTGGTGAGTCATTTGACAAGGCAGCGCTTTCTCTGTCAATGCTGGAGCCGCCTAATTAGATATAGTTTACTAAAATGGTAAACTTCCACACAGACGCACTTACTGGGATATCTTCTTTCCACATGTGCGTGCTCTAACTCTCCGACATTTGTGCGTTAGGAGTTGGCCTACCAACGAATGCAGTTGGTGGAGCTGAACCATCAATTAGAGGTAGCGCGGCAACAGATAGCGATTCGGGATGAGCTCATCGCAGAGCGCGGTCTGGTGCTGGTGAGTGCGGATGGCAGCGAGGGCAGAGCTGGGATGGCCAACGGAGACAGAGAACAGTCTCTCCTCAATGGAGCTGCTGTTTCTGAAATCTCCCACCCCTCTGTCACCCTCCAACCATCGCTCCAAGCCCTTTCCTCTAATGCTGCTCCACTCACCGCCTCCGCCTCCTCTTACACCATCCTTTCCAAGTCGAATGCAGAGGCACTGAAGTCCATTTGTGGGTCTGATATCGGTAGGAATCTCGCTCTGCTCAAGCTCTTATTGTGCGACTTTTGTTACTTTGTTCTGCTTTCTAGACCTATCTGCCTTCGGCGGATATAGTTAATACGTCCTTTTACTAGCGCTCATCACTATCAATTATTTACTTAAGGTATACTTACTTCGTCTTATGAATGCTTCCTTCCGCACAAATGCATATGGTTTCTGTACGCTTTTCTTTAAGTGTGCTTCCGGAGTCATTATTACCTTTTGTCTGCCATACATTTGTTGACAGGTATGGACTTACTTTCTTCAATTTTGGTTTAATAAACCCGAAATTTGCGCCTGTAATTTTATTTCTACACCTATTTACTTTCTATTCAAATCATACTCATTCGCGTTTCTTAAGTTAATTGTATCAGTTCCATTTTTCAAATCGGTTCTATTTGTTTTTACATAATGAAATTTTAAACAGCCTTCTCTTTGTTCCTTCTGTCTTTCAGATGCGAAAATAGCATCTCTATTGGAGGAGCGGGCGAAGGACAAGGAATGCATCGAGACGCTGAAGTTGCACCTGGCAGAGGAGCGTGAGCGGATCGAACTCGTGCAGAAACTGGATACCCGCGCCAAGGGCGGCGATTCGGAGAACTTACGACAAGCAGTTCAAGGTAAGTTGATGCTTTTTATGAACTAAGTTTGACATAAGTACGGTGTCCTCAGGGTTCTCACATCCGTTCATCCTCCAATAATAGCCGAATCTCAGTCGGATGGTAGTAATCCGGCTGATAGCTACCGGAAACAGCGTTGGTATCTCCATTTCTGTGTGCAATTATTTGAGCTAGATCAAATTTCAAGACAAGGAAAAAGTCTGTAAATAGGTCACTACAGTGGCTTTTAATTAAAAAAATTTTGCTGAATTACACTATTTGATCTTAATTAGTGTCTGTTAAGAGGTTTTGATCTAAGGGGCATCGAGTGGCTTGTAATATTACTTTGTGTGTGTCGATGATATTATCTCTTTAAGCGTTCTCTTGTGATTACCGAATGTTCTCTTCGAACTTTCAGTTCGAGGATTGTAATAAATGATCTTTGCTTATTTTAGTTTGAATGTAGACATGCTCGATTGGTTCCCTAGCATGCGAAGCACGTCTCTGTAACTGTAATTCATTTGACAGCGTAGGGTTTCGTGGGATATTTCAGCTATCTCCCGTAACTTCATATATTGAACTTGTGGTCATTGACGGGTTTTCGCCATTTAAAGAAACTATTCATTAGAGAACCAAATTTATTTTTCAAGCACACTTTCAATCTACTTTGTTCACACCAAGGGCGGTAGAGTGTTTACATATTTGCGTAATGATATCAAAGTCTGTTTCTTTTCTTGACCCGTGGTTTGATTTTGTGCATCAAAAATTCATTCTATGTCATCTTCTCTTTAGCTGCTCGATCTCAAGCTCAGGATTACAAGTTTCGATTAGAACAGGCCAACCAGAAGATTACCGGGTTAGAGGGTGATGTAAGCTGTTCTCAGTCTATTTCAACTCTTTCATAGAAATATTTGCGGATTCACAGTGAAGTTCGGTGATAAATTACCACTTAACTTTCAAGATGGTCGAAGTGTAATGGGATCACCCTTCAGTAATTCGTACATTTTTGTCTCTTTGAAGAGGTTATGTGACTGCTGCCTGAATCTTTCTCATTCACCACATTACACCACAGTTGTGTTTTCACCTCGTATAATTTTATTGGTACATTAAAATTCAGAGAAATCCACTGTTTTATTTGAACTGATAAAAGATGGGACCATTGAGTGTATGGTCTCCTGTTCAAATAAAATTAATTCCCGATTGCTGATCATGTAACGCCTCGAATTTCGTAAATGCCTTCCAAATGAAGCAAACAAAGGAATATCACGTGTCAAATCACCCTGTTTTATGACCAATATATTCGTATTACATAGTCCCTCGTCACCTTTGCATAGAGCAAGACTTTCTTTGACATTACTATTGTAATAGTTTCATGCTGGTTTGTATCATGAAAAGCAGGAAACACAACCTCCCATTATCTTAAGCATACTTAATGCCTGTACGGCGTGATTAGTAGGCCTTCCTTTGCTGCTGATTTGGATCATCCGAACAGTTACCACCCTCTCCGCCAAAATAATACCATACCAGAAGAATATCATATGAATTGGTGCCCCGTATTTAGATGAGGTGTTACCCTCTCTTGTGCAATGCTATCCAACCAGCATGCTTCTGATTTTTTTTCGCAGATCATACGACTGGAAGGTCAGGTGAAGCGCTTCAAGACTATTGCAGAAAATGCTGAGATGCAGGAGGATCAAATGAAACAGGAAAGACGGAAAATCCATCGCGAGGTGCGTAGTCGCCTTGTGGCATTTTACTGAAACAATACTAGTAGAACATCATGTCTATTTTAATTTTATGTAGCTTCGTGAGGCCCTCTCAACAATTGATGACCTCAAGTCAGAGAACTCCACACTCCAGCGAAAAATTGACAAGCTCTCTCGCAGTCCACCTGGGGTGCCAAGTGGTTCCGGCCTTCGATCCTACCGTGGCTCCTCGCAGGCTCGGTAGAAGCGTAGCAAATTGTAGCTCTCGGGCCCTACGTCGAGGCAACGCACACCCCTGGCCTTCTCTCCCACCCAACCACATGCTGATTCGCCCATCCATCTCGCTTCTTCCTTTCAGACGCATTTTAGATCGATGGCCACTCAGCCACCGCGCAGTACACGCAGTCTTTCACCCATATGCCTCTTCTACCTTCGTCTTGTAAATACTACACAAAAGTGCCGCTGTGACGTTTAATCCCGCTCCCTTCATTATCATCATCCATTGTCACCCCCCACCATCACGCCTCAGTATTGACACGGAACGGAACCTGCCGCAAACTGTGCTCATTTGTGCACACAAAGCGTCGACAATTATCAAATAAATTCTCGGGTAACCGGGTTAAGCTCAAGAACTAAGTAAGGCTACAAGATGCCCGAGTTAAAAGAGGTAGTTGAGCCGATAATCCCCCAATCAGTCATGATCAATACGACACACGTGGTGTCCTACCCACCACGTTTAGGTGTACAAGGCTAACTAGCGGGGCCATTCATCCGGGTCTGAGAGCGAAAGTTACTTATTCTGTTCTCACACTTTGACTCTGAATGGATGGTGCAAGGCAGTCAGGAGATTTTGAAAGAGGTTTTAAGACATCTACAGCAGCGCCGGGGAGGGCCTACACGATAATGCCGTAGATTAGGAGGTTAGAGAGGAATCAAAGTACTCGTACTGGCTTCAGCAAGTAGGACAAGAGTGAGTTGTAGGTCCACGAGAGTGGCGTGCGAATTTGGTATAGGGGAAACAAGGACGAGTTAGGTCACTAAAGGCTTAAAGCCTACCCCAAACTGGCACGTAATAGGAGGAACCTCGCGAATACAAGGGAACAACTTCACACTGTGAGCAAGGGTTACACAGCTAATGGGGGCTTTATTTCTAGAAAATGGTGAAATAATAGGGCGAAGTTATCAGCAAGAATTTACTCCATCCCGCTCTCTCTAAGGAGCTGCTTCATGGACTGCTCGGCCTGATATTCCATCCACTGGTCGTAATCAGCCTTTCTCTTTGCCATTATTGCGCGATTTTTTCTCTGAATGCCAACTTCGCGAACTTGCAGGTACTTCAACCGCAGAGCACCGTAGAGAACGCCAGCCAAAAGCAATCCCCATCGAGCAGTACGAATAAAGGGTGAGACTGCTTTTGGAGCTGGAAGCGTAATTTTATGGACAGATCCTGCAACCATGGCTAGTCTAAAGCATGATATGGTCAGACGTCACGAGTGATATTAAAATAACACGGAAATAATACCTTTACTCCTAAATCTTATGCCTTTGAAGTTACCCAATCACAAAAATATCTGCATGATGGAATGGCTTATTATCCACCACAATATACAGACAAATTGGTCATCGTCAAACGATAAACGAGCAGAAGCACGACTCACCCGTTCTAAAGAGTAGTATGTGAACTCGGGCTAGTTATCGTTTGTACAACAAACAAATGAAACAAAAACTGAGTATAAGAGCACTGTTATTTTTTTCCAAAACCAAAGTAATGATGAATAAAAGAAAAATTTTTCTTTGTGGGTCCATAAAAGGGGAGCCAATAATTTCGATTAGTTGATATCATGAATAGTTCATTTAAAGTGTGTTTCCGTTGAATAAGTTTGCGTGTGATACAGACAAGAGTAATTTGGTGATATACCAAACGTCTTATGCCACCAAACTAATATCGTTTAACTGAAAGTCTACTCGCTTGTTTCAATGGTAAAGATCTTACACCATGTTTGCATGCGTTCAGCCATGTGGACACCGCAGTCTTCGTAGATTGCTTATTAGATCGTGTTGAAGACATATTGGCTCTTCTGCACGCTAGTAATATGTAACACGGTGATACCTTAAATACCCGTTTTGGTGAAGAGCCACTATTGACTTGAACATTGTACCACGGCGGGCGGGCTGGCCTACGGACCGTGCCAGTAGCGTAAATACTTTCTATAAGTTGAATTTATATATTCTGCCGGAGAACTATGTCCTCTTTTGTCTTCAGGGAAGTCTCTAGGCAAAACTTCACACCCAGTTTATTCCCTGAGGCGCATCAGTGACAGGGGGGTTGAATGACTTCTTCATTGCAGGCAAGGTTGATGACTGGCATAGTTCATTCATGGGCGTTGTTTGCAAGTACTGACTATTTTATAGTAATTGACGAAAAAGGTTGACCAAGTGGAGTCCCGGCAACGACAATTGGAAGAAGAGGGTTATGCAATGCTCCGATGGTTTGTTTAACCCTACATCAAATTATGGGGCGCTTATTACACGCAGATTATGCCATCATTTGTAACATGACGTTCAGGCCATGGTAGCAGCCTCGACTCTTCTGGGCGTTAGCAATATGTTATCTGTCATACTACTCTGACTTCCACGGCCTCAGGGAAAACACGGGGCTCCACATGTACGCATCGACTTGATTTGGTATAATCCAAAGGCGGGTAGAAGAGTGCTTCAAAGGCGATTGAGGGCAAATTTTGAAATGGTTCCTGGACAAAATGACCTCACTTATCCAGCGTCTCTATTTTCCTTACATGATCGTACGCTTATAAATTCCATTTCTTCTCTAGCTTTAACAGCGAGCTATTGAGGTCCAGCATTTACCTAGGAGAGCTTAATGCATTTTAAATGTTACTGAGAAAGTTTGGGGCCCTTTCATGATTTTTGAGCCTGTTTGACTTCTGGAGACATGTTGTAATACGATAGTGGTTTATCCCTCGGTTCTGGTGAGGCGCCACTTTTGTACTTCGAATTAGCCCCCTTGTACCTCGCTGGGTGGGCTGGCCTTTTGGGCCATGCCAATAGCCCAGAC